ATATATAATATAATAAATATGTAAAATATATTATAATATATTTCTGTTATTTATAATATAATAAATATGTAAAATATATTATAATTCCATTATTAATAATATTTATAAAAATTAGTGACATATTTTACTTGAGTTGGATAATAAATGCAAACATTATTTAGTCGTTATCGATAGATAGATTGTTAGTGCAATAGCACAGATTTGTATTAAAAAGTAGTTAGTTAAATAAAAATATTAAACTGTGTTATCTGATATGTAATAGTTACAAAATTATCAAAGAATTATCATTAAGATTGTGATATTATATTTTATTACATTTATAAGTATAACTCTAAAAAATACTTGAAGTCACTCTCTTATTTAAGTTTCCGTAAACTTATAATTTATATTGTTTGTATTATGTTAGTATTTACGACGGAAAGAAATTGAAAATTGTTTCTTATTATTTTTTACTTATCAAATAAATATATTACAAAATATAAGCTTTTTACATTATTTAAAATAATTCATGAATATTTTAAATCAAATTTCCCTGAATAAAATCTTAATTTTTATTCTTTATCGGTTGTTGTAAAATTTGCGATTATTATGAATACTTCAGAAAACCTTGGAATAAGATACGAATTTAGAATGAACGAACGACTAGAGGAAAGGTCACGAAAAAGTGATACAAATAACAGATCCTATACATTTAAAAAACCGGCTTATCCAGTATTTTTTCAATAAATATTACCTAGTTCTAAATTTATCGTACCTTTATATAAAATGAAAATTAGTTCTCTTCTGGAATGTTCTCCCACTTACATTTCCTATATGATCATGTGATCACATATAAAGTATGAAAGCGAATAAAACAGACGTATCAAAATAATCTTCATTCTACGCATCTGAATAAGAGTGAGAGTTGAGGAGAAAATATTAAAAATAAAAAGATTTTATATATAGACAATATATAGAATGTCGATCGGCTTGCGTGAAACTTTATTCGTAGTAGATATATTAAGATCATTCTCATATGGTTTTAGAGCTACTTCATAGAAAAATGTCCGCAATATTCTTCATTTTTACGTTTATAATAGCGTACGTTGCAGCGTATATACGTAAGTAAAAAAAATTATTTGTTACATATTTATTTATATCACATATGTATAATTTTTATTATGTAACTTTTTATTATATGTCCGGGAAAAAATATTTCATATAATAATTATATAAAATTATACAAAATTATATATAATTATGTATAAAATTGACATATTTTATATACATTTATATATAATTATATATAAAATATGGTATGTCCATATATATAACATCTTTTCTTGACTATTAAAAATTTTTTATATCTGCATGAAGTTTAAAAAATCGTGTCGTGATTATGATATAATAAATGTAACATTATTTTTTAAATTAGACAATTTATCTTGAAAAAATAACAAAAATTGTAATTTATTAGTGCTAATTGCATAATGATAATTTCGTACATAATGATAATAGTGTTATGTATTTGTATCGTGGTATCTTAAAAATTATGATAACACCATAGCAACATATACATAAAAAAAATTTAATTAAAAAATACTGCGAATTAAAAATAGTTTTCGCATATTTAAACAAAAGATGACGGTAGCAACTATCAACTTTGATAAAAGCTTTTTTTTCATTGAGCATTTAATTTGATCTACATCTTTGATCTACTATCTGTAATTTGATACTACATCTCATATACTTGGCTTACTGTGAACATAGTAAATAGATTCATTTTGAATGATTTCAGAAAAATAAAGTATACTCAAATATGTGAATTAAAAAATAGAAATATTGCATAAAAATTTTATGTGATTATGAAGGTTTTTATTATCTTGAAAAATATTAAGTAAAAATCAACCGAAAAGTATTTAAATACAAATAAGAGAAGAATGCTAAAGGGATTTTCGGTTAAAGTGGGTTTTCCTAAAAATACAAATACAATTACGAATTCTAAACTGTGTGCAATTAAATTAATTGATCATTGATTAAATGATAGTATTACACTAATATCTTAAAAACTTGTAATAATCGCAAAAAATATCACTTAAAATATTAATAGAGCATTATTATTAAATCGATGATTAATTAATTTAATTACGAGATTATTTCTCGTACAATTACAGTTTATGATTGTGTTTCAAATCTGATTATTCAAATCGGCGGACATAGAATTTAATTGTATTGATAACTGTATTTGTATATTCACATACACATATTATTAAGCAAAAAACCCACTTCGATCGAAGATATCCTTCTCTTATTTTATTTTTATTATCTTAGTTATTAATGACTACATATAATAATTTATAAACTATTATTAAGTGCAAGTATTTTTAATAAAAGTCATATAAAATTAGTCGAAATTATTTATGTTTAGACACTTTAAAATTGACTCATAAATAAGTTAATATTATTAATGTACCTAAAAAGATGCAAAGTTAAGTAGAATTTCAATATCGCTTTTCTTCTACAACAATGTAAATTGATTTCCTTGCTTTATTATGTTTGCGTCATATTGTGAATGGTTGTCATTACAGAAATTATGTATTTTACAGTTCCAATAATAAAAAAATTAGCAGATATGTTAATATCTTATTCGTTATAAATAATATGGTTTTATTTCGAAGGACGAAAGAGAAATGTGAAATTCGCATTAATACAAATTAAATTCTTATTACCTTTTTGGATAGTTTGATAATTAATGTTAAAGGTGAATAATTCCATTTATTAAAAAAAACCTAGTTTGACATTGATTTGCTAAATAATATAAACAAAATTTATTTATTTCTTATTGTGCAAACTTTTCGTTACTGATATATTTTAAATCTTTTGTTTTTGGAATATATAAAATCCTGAAGTACGGAATGAAGATTCAAATTATTATTATGTCTCTTATAAGTAGATAATAATAGAGATGTATAAAATTAGGAATTTAAATATCGTTTCAATTTATGATAATTGCAATAGAATCTATGCATCTATACATGGCGATTTTAAAAACCTGACGAATAAATATCAATATTAGCTGAGTCTATAGAAATTGATAGGACAATTTTTGTCCATACACATATATGCATAATTACAACATTGAACGTATAAATTCTTAACACCAATGTTTAACATTAATCGTTTATTAGGAGAATTGTGAGCACTTAAGGGGAATTCATTGTTATAATGTGATTTTTGAAATTGAAGTCAATATAAATACGGAAATACAAACTATAAATATTTTTCTATCGAGATGCATGAACAATTTTTCATTCGATAATATTGTATAATATTTAATAAAAAGTAAAAAAAGAAAAAATTTTTCGCGGGGCGGGTAATTGTACGCAAAACAAAAATCGTAAAAAATTAATATAAAATTAATATAAAATTAATAAAATAAATATTTCATGGAGAATGTTTCATGGAATATTGATAAGAAAGTGAAAAAATATATATACCAATATAAAATATATATACCATATATAAATTATATTAATGTTAATACAAAATTAATAAAACTTTGAAAAAATTAGAAAAATTAATTATTTAAACAAAATATGTAATTCTCAGCGTCATCAGCTCCACACTCTCTTTATGGATCCATTCAGAATATAGAGCAGCATTAAAACAGCATTAAAACCACCTAATTGATACAAATAAAAGTAACATAATGTCTATATTATAATTTTGCAATGTAACTACTAAGGAACACACATAAGTCAACAAAAAATTAAAATGACGTCAAAATGGCTTTATTTTGATGCTTAAAGTCAATAAATAGTCAAATTTTGTAACTAAAAATCATCATTTTGACATTAAAATATATCATTTTGACTTTCTCTCGACTTAGTGTGTTCTTTGGGCTGTTATGTAACACCATATGTTATATTACAGATTTACATTTATATTGTGGAATACAAAATTACAACATTGATATTATGTTACTTTTAATTTGTTGACTAAGCAAAGTCATATCTTTTGAATTCTTTTATATAGTGCATTTTTCATTGGAAGGAAACTTTGAATTGTCAATGCGCACATTTATTCGCCTCGAATCGATATGATAAGAAAAACGATTACTTAAAGATTTTTTAGCTAAATTCAATGAATAATAGCTCAAAAGACGCACATAATAAAGTATATAATACATATAATACTTTAGTAAGATATGCACGATTAAATAAACAAAAAAATACAGACTTACTATCTTATTTTCTGGATGCTATCAAAATATGTAATTTCATTTTCTCATTTTTGCTGTTAATTACATTTTCAAATTATATAACTTATGGTTATATCTAAAAAGAATTACGTTTAATCTAGATATTTTGCTGCGGTAGCGGCACCATTTATCGGAAAAGTGCTGAACTAAAATGCGCACAATTACTTAACTTTCTCTTAATTACGAATCTAAAACTTTTACAAATTTATATTTAAAATTATATTCTCCTTTTTGCTCCTTAAAATTACGTTAAAACTTTAATAAAATTTATAAAACGTTGGTAAAATTTTAATTAATGTATATTATAAATTTTATATAATTTAATAATAAATGTTACTCTTATTAAAAATGTATTACACATACAATTGTGTTAATAATACAATATTTCTAAATATTATAAATATTAGACATGTTACGGATATACATGTATAATAATTGATGTAATGTCCGCTCGTGTATTATATATTTCTAGTATATTTTTGTCGCTTCGCGAAAAATGCATAATATTTTGAAATATACTTGTTGTTACATTGAGACTTAAATAGATAATCTTATCTAACAATTTTTCCAGATATAAGAAACAATATACATTTTTTTTATAGCTCCTTACATTCATCCATGTGTGTAATGATCCAAACTACAACCAGTGCGTTAAAAACAATATTGACGATATAAAAGATAAGATTTGCACAGGAACGCCAG